TCCAGATATGCAAACACTTCTTTATTTAAATTGCTTGAAGTTATTGGATCCTGAAGGAACGCTCTCTCATCTTGCCTGCACTACTGTGTATGTACAGCAACATGACGATAAATTGATTTGATAGATTGTTTTTAAAATACTGAAGGTGGAATGGGTTTGATTTAGTGTTACTGTTGTTGTAGAATTTGTGGATAATGCATTAAAGTCTAACGATGATATAGCCACAGAGGCTGCAAAACCACAAAGTCCAGTCTTGCAATATTATGTACCAAGTGGTTGATCGTTATTTTTTTATACCGCGCCGCTCGCTGCACAGATGCTCCCTTCATTCCCCTATTCTGGGCTCCTGAACGTAGCTATACTCTGACTTGATTTTGTGTTGCAGCATATAATGATGTCGCGGCACACACACACCAAAAGAATTGAGGGACTGGACCAGAACGTCTGGTAAGTGATTGAAACAGTCGTCTGTGTGAGACTGCAGTGAAGACAGGTAGGTAGGGTTTGCAGGACAGTAGCTCGTTATGCTGGATGCTGCTTAGTTTGAATTGAAACTTGTAGAAAACAGTGTTTCACAAGAAGAGTCACAGCTGATATCAAAACATATTAGTAATGCTTTATTTTGGCATTCATTTTAAAGCCAGTGTCCCATAAACATTTCTCATAATTTTCTAAAAAGGCAGCTTGTGTTGAGCCGTACATTGCAAGTATCTTTCCAAAAAATGCTGCACAATTGTTGGTATTAACTGTAACAGAAATTCTGCAATGAACAGAGAAAAAGTTGCTCAAGTTTGAAGTGCCTACTCAGATATTTTAATGCTGTGAACCACAGGCAGTTTCTGGGTGTTCTTTTGCTCCTGTCACGTTTCCTTAACTGTGGGCTGATGTTTCACTATTATATGAAGTCATGTTTTTCAGTAGAAACACCACAGCCATGGCTGGAAGAACAGAGAACTCAGAAATGTCTAATGTGCAGTATGACCAAGTTATAAAGTCATAAACCATAAGGCAAAAAAAAGAAAGTTACAGTTCTTTGGTTATTTATTTTATAAAAATGGAGACGACCTGGAATCAACAGCATTCTTCCAAGCACCCACAGGTGTTACCAAACATGGAAGAAATAGCAACTCCATGTTATGACTGTAAATATTTTCCTACTTACATTTTTAATCTGTTTTCACTCAGAGTGGCTGAGATTTTGTCACGTGACTTTTGGTCTCTGTTGAGATCAGGAGCGCAGAACTTTTAGTTTTTTACAGAATC